GTAAGTGAAATGACTCAAAGTGAAATGACTCTAAGTGAGAAGACTCAAAGTGAGATGACTATAACTGAGATGACTCAAAGTGAGATGACTCAAAGTGAGATGACTCAAAGTGAAATGACTCTAAGTGAGATGACTCAAAGTGAGATGACTCAAAGTGAGATGACTCTAAGTGAAATGACTCAAAGTGAGATGACTCAAAGTGAGATGACTCAAAGTGAGATGACTCTAAGTGAAATGACTCAAAGTGAGATGACTCAAAGTGAGATGACTCAAAGTGAGATGACTCAAAGTGAAATGACTCTAAGTGAAATGACTCAAAGTGAGATGACTCAAAGTGAGATGACTCAAAGTGAGATGACTCAAAGTGAGATGATTCTAAGTGAGATGACTCTAAGCGAAATGACTCTAAGTGAGATGACTCAAAGTGAAATGACTCTAAGTGAGATGACTCTAAGTGAGATGACTCTAAGTGAGATGACTCTAAGTGAAATGACTCAAATTGAGTCATTTTTCAAGTCATTACAATACACAGGATATATCACTACATTTTCCCTAAGGCAATGGTCACTATTACATGTAGTTTGATTTACTAAAAATAGAACTGTTGTAAACGTAGATAATGCTTACACAGACAATATCAACTGTTTTACATTGTTATGGATGTTCAGTGATTGAAGTATCATACCCACGTTGTATGATCTACAGAAAAGTAATCCCTGATAAAGTAAGGGTTTCGGATTGTGTACAGTTCATTAGAAATTGTCTTGTTATCCAACAGAATCATGAAAGAAGCCATTGGTGATTACAATAATGAAAATTATGTTTTATTTGTTAGACAACACGACTTTCAGTGCTTGCTTGCGTCTGTACTACTGCTCCAATATTTCAGCATTTGTTGCCATACCAACTGATTTTGTAATTTGTCATGGTGACCACAATATTCAGTAGTAGGTACCGGTAACATGTGAATCTCAAAGTTTACTGACATAACATATTTGTAACAATATTTTAACACCATATTCATTATGAATATGTTTGTCAACAATTTTTGTTTACTTATTTGTTTGGAATACAAGTGTATCGGTACGCAATAGTTTGTTGACTCTAGGGTACATGACAAAACACATAAAATATAACAATGTACAAACCAAAACTATAATTATTGCTGTTCATGTGCCTTGATTATGTACAAGTTGAGGGGGTGTAGGAACAATGAATGAAAAAAAAAAATTCAGGAAATATTAAAATAAAAGCACAATTATAATAACAATTTCAAAATTAAAATAAATATGAAACATACACACAATTGATTTTGAAATATAAGTTGACCAGAACTTTTGTTGTTGGTCTTCTTAGTACTGTAAATGCATTAATTATTCACTGGGTTTTAATTTCACTATTTTCACTGATAAATAAAATTTGCTATATTAAATCCTTGTGAACATGTAAAATAACAATAAAACTCATTGTTTACTTGACTAATTCATGAAATTAAAACACAGTGAATATGCTCAAAACATCAAAATAGTGAAATGACTGTCTGTGAAAATAAATGGTTTTACAGTAATATGCTTTGGGATCTGCTTCATTTATTATTTTAGTAATTTACATAAAATATAACAAAGTTCATTTATTTACTGGAGGGAACAAATTGTCATGTAAAGATTGATAGCAGTGAATTATAACATTTACTCAATTAATCTACCAGGGTCTTGAATGTTATCCATGTTTATCAGGTATCCTGTTGAATGGAAACTATTAAAAATATATTTCAAGGAAATGTCATGATACATACTGTATCACTTGATCTGTGTCTATGAGATTTCTTTGTGCCTCTCTGTATAATGCCCTTTTACTTGTATTACAGACTTCAAACTTTCCAATATCTCAACCTGTTATATAATTTATATAGGCTTATTTGTATAGTGTATGTTTAATAATCAGTTATATGCGAAAGTACATGTTTTTTCTTGCAAATCTTTAGCAAAATATCTTTTTCTTCCAAACTATCAAATTTTTTTTATCTGTTCAAAATTGCTAACAACATTGAATTGGAGAATTACCGTATTAAATAATAATTAATTATTTTTTTCAAAATATTAACAAGTTGTTTTTTAATATGGGACTATGTGTACACATTAATTTGCCTTGCCCCCCAAAAACATTTCTGTAACTATTGGTACATACATTGTATGGAGGGAAATTTATACAATCAATAACAACCTTTAAGATATTAATTGATATTAAATTAAATCAAATAATTTTAATGAATTCGGGATGATTACTTTATGTTCTGTTCAGAAAAAAATTGAATGTTTCTGGTCAATTTTTTTTAACCAAAATCGGTTTGGGTGGATATTTTTTAATTTTTTTACAATTAAATTTAAAATCGCCAATGAAGTCAGGCTTTTATATTGAATTTTAATGAAAATAATTGAATTTTTTCATGACAAAAACTGTAATAAATGAGTTTTGTAAGAAATCAATTAAATCTAAAAAATAAACTGTAATGTGTAATTAATTAAACTAATCAATATACGGGAATATTTTTCTCTACAATATACATGTATTGGTTGAGTTGTGTGAGATCTTGTCTCTAGGCGGTTACAATTGACGTAAGGAGATTGCTAGTTCTACTTCATATTACCATGTGTTTTCCCCTGGGGTTGTGAACACAGAGTCACTTATAGTGCTTCTATTAAGCTGTTAAGTGTCTACAATGTATAATGAAAAAAAAAATATCTGGAAACTAAAGGGATTACAAATTGTTATGTACATGGTGTTTTGTTTATTATGGGTGTTCAGTGTATAGATGGTGTTCAGTATATCAAGGTTCAAGTTTATATCATTTATATGCGGTTGCACTACTAATAGAATAAATACGGTATATGACAAACCAGTAGAAATAAATGCCACATGTCAATATAAATCTGCAGATAACCAATCCAACAGTAGCACATAGCATGCATACTTACATTAATCCTGTCTCTTAGAGCAGACAACTGAAAATAGCAATGCTACAACTTTGTTGTTGTTACAAGGATAATATTTTCTTTGGTAAATTACACACATATGGAAAGAATTCTGGTTGTTCATATTGCTGAGAAATTATTGTCTTTGTTATGTAATAGTAGAGTTGTTTTTCACCAAAATCTTATAAGAGTATTATTTTATACATTGAATTTAACAATCTTTGTCGATTATTATCATGCAATAGTAACAAAATATGTTCCTCTATCTTCCTAATTGTTGTAATATACAGTTTAGTTTCTGTTAAAATACAACACAGTAATACTGCATGTTTTGGAATGTGTGGAAATATTAAAGGTATTTGCTGAAATGAGGTTAAAAACATAGTTAAGGAGTCTGAAGTGAAACATTTATCAATTAAAGATTAACTAGGGACTCAGTAACTTCACCTTCTCTAATTGGTCTAATTTCCGAGCAATAATTTCAATATGAATTTGATTTAAAAACACTTCAGAATGTGGGATATTTTTGATTTCTCACGAAAAATAGTTATTTTTAGGTTGTTTTTATTATATAGGAATTGGATGATCTATTTATATAGATATAAGTGCAATCATGTTGATACATCAATTCAGAGATAAGTTTCCAATGAGATATGTAATACTGAGTGTCATGAGAAAGAAGGTATTAACAAAGAGGGGGGTTTTGTGAGTCACAGGGGAGGGGGTTTGATTATCATGAGGGAGAAGGTATTAACATCAGGGGAGTTCTTGTGAGTCACAGGGGAGGGGGTTTGATTATCATGAGGGAGAAGGTATTAACATCAGGGGAGTTCTTGTAAGTCACAGGGGAGGGGTTTGATTATCATGAGGGAGAAGGTATTAACATCAGGGGAGTTCTTGTAAGTCACAGGGGAGGGGTTTGATTATCATGAGGGAGAAGGTATTAACATCAGGGGAGTTCTTGTGAGTCACAGGGGAGGGGGTTTGATTATTATGAGGGAGAAGGTATTAACATCAGGGGAGTTCTTGAGAGTCACAGGGGAGGGGGTTTGATTATTATGAGGGAGAAGGTATTAACATCAGGGGAGTTCTTGTAAGTCACAGGGGAGGGGGTTTGATTATCATGAGGGAGAAGGTATTAACAAGGAACGAGGCCTTGAGTGTCACAGGGGTAGGCGTAGGCTCACGTGTCACAAAAAGGGAGGGGCTATTGAGAGTCACAATGGGGTCTTGAGTGTCACAAAAGGGGAGGAGGTCTTGAATGTCATGAAGGGGAGTTGAGTATCATGAGGGAGGTTATGTGTGTTGGTGGCAGTGAGTATTGGGGGGAGGGGCCCCCTTAAGTGTCATGGGGGGGGTGTCCTCTCGAGTGTTGGGGGGAGGTCTTTATATTTACTATATATAGTCTGATAAGATTTCATTCATTTGTTCAAATAGTAAGCTATACAACTACCCTTATTGTCTAACTCTTGTGGGGATTTATCAGCCAACAGACATCTGGTTGTTGTTTTTTTATTGGGAAGTACACGTATGAGTTAATTTCCCCGAGTGGAATTTTCAAGTCACCTGGAGCTTTTAGCATAGAAGTGAAGAAGAATGTATTGCATTCATTCAGACAAGCTACAATGCTATAACAAATGTGGCAACACAGTCACTATATACACGTGTGGGACATGTACAAAGTACAAGGTAACAATCACATACTGTGTGTCGGCGTCATTAATGTGCATGTCATGTATTGCTAAAACATCATTGCTTATTATAGGACTCGCCCCACAATAGATGGCATGATAAATACAACAATATGGACATGGTGTTTATTACTGTAAAATATTTTATTTTCGCTGGAAGTAATTTTCGCTGAAAAGACTTTTTGGGTGTTTTGTATGGAATTTATTTTCACTGATTTTTCTGAAAGATGAATGCAAAATATAGGAAAAAAGGTATATTCGTCGGATTTTATTTTCACTGAATTATTCTTTCAGCGAAAATAAAGTATTTTACAGTATTTCTGTTTATTGGTCAACAGGTGAGATGATGA